TATTTGAGAATTGAAGTCGTTTTTTTTTCTAAAAAATTACTTGTTACATTTAGGACTTCACCCTAGCTCTCCCTCTCTTCTCAGTGAGACAGACACGAATTCCACCTCTCTCGCGATTTCTTGCAATATCACTGTGGTCTGGAAACCATCTACATAAATCTAGCTAGGTAACACTCAGCGACCGAAAGTGGGGTCAAGCATTTTCCTACTAAGTACCGATTGCTACTTAGCTATCGGAGTAGATATTTAACCCTCCTGTCGACGTCATGGAAATCAGTAAAAACTTCTTCCTAAATAAAATATACCTAAATATATATATTTAAACAGTCCTTTGCAAAATACTCCACCACCGACCCCTATGTAGAGCTTCGACGATCCGTGGAAAAGTTCACCGGTGCTTCCTTCTAACCGCTGCCTCCCGGTCAATCATACCTAGAGAAGTACTAGTTGGTGGCAGTTTAGTCTCAAATAGTTATTAGAGGGTCCAGGACCTCAGTTAGTTAAGCGTGCAGTGCCCTTAAGCCTAACCGCAGCTCATGTTGTCCAAATAAGCCTTCAGTATGGATTCAAAAATATACGAAATTACTTATGGAAAGGGACTGAAACAGTGTCTGTAGAATGTCGTTTACGACCATCCAAAGCAGAGATTAGAGGATGCCACCTTGTGGTGTGCTTCTGTTTAGTTTTTGCTGGAAAGTAACAATTTCCGTTTCGGAGCTATAGTTCTCATGCCCATGCTAAACTAAAGATCTGACGATTGCCCGCGGAGGGGTATTACTAACAGAACCCTTGATGGCTGTTGACTTCTGTTTTGCCATCGCAATGATAGTTGACAAATATCGATAAATGCGAAGAAGTTTTTGTAACATCTACTGGTTAAGAATAAGTTCAAATTATGTTAACTTATTTATATTGTGAGTCCTGAAATGAAAGGAACATAGCTGGTATATAAGTAGAGCAAATACCCAAAGGCTTTTGTAATCCAGTTTATATTCCAAAATAGTCTACTGTGCATAAAAATTCAACATTTTTCAAGTGATTGCGCTGATGTAAAAACAAATATTTAAATAAGCAAAACAGATATAAAAGTTGAACAGATATAAAAAAAAAAACTTAGAGCTCATAAAAAGTACGATTGGTTAAGGAAATACCAATGAATTTTAATCACAATGCAATGATGTTATCAATGTGCAGTGTTGCACAGCTACATATGTAGATATAAACCCTTATGCACAGATATGTCGTTGCTGTGAGTATAGACAAATATGTGCACATTTACATAAGTACATATGTATACGAGTATACATGATTCTATACCACATACACGGTTAAAAATTTCGGTTTTAATTTTAAACTTTTTGAACTACATACATATATGACCAAACTAAATTATGTTTCAAATACAAACCTTCCAAGGAGAGCACATATGTATATTGGGTTTAGAATTTAAACAGCTCGGCTTAAATTTTAAACCCAAACATTTTCTATTTCGTTTGCTTCACGTTACACTTCACGAAAGCTTTTTCATAACTAAGAATAAAAAATAAAAAATCTTACATTTCATGTTCCAACTGATTTGGATCGAACCCGGACAGCCTTGGTAGCGCCCAATTGTATCACGCATCTTTGCACGCTCAGCTACAGCCATCCATGAAAATGTGCTTTCAAATGTTGAGTTTGAACCAACACCACATTTCGCTGCGTTGATGCTGTCAGTTCTTAAGATTTGCTCTCTCTCTCTGAGAGACACCCTTATGCCTAAGTCTTATAGGTCATATAAAATAAGGCATATTTAGGCAAACATTTTCTCTTTCGGTTTAGAATAAAAAAAAAAATATTTTATATGAAACCTAGAAACTAGAATCAAAACATTTTGCTTTGATTTTCAAACAAACAGGGCCTATATTCGAAACCCCAAACTTTTTGGTTTTAATGTTAAATCACTCAAAGCAAAACATCTTTTTCTCGGCTGCTTGGACTAAAGTTTAAACCAGAATATATTAAAAATTGCTTAAAACTATTGACTGCTTGAAAAAGTAGACTATAAAAGATTAAAACAGGCAGCAGTCCTAGCTCGGCTTAAAAATTAAACCCAAATTTTTCAAAGTGTAGGCATAAAATACAAATTTTTGCATTAATTTTTTCTGCTGGAATATTTCATATATTTTTTATTGTTTTAATAAATATTGCCGTCGCAACGCGGATTCAAATCTCATAAAATAATAGAATACATAGTATTCTTCTGCAAATATAAATATTTTATTTAAAAACATCAGTGGTTCCAATTGTTTCTCGATTGAGTAATTCAAATAATAAACACTAAAAACTTCGCTTCCTTCTGATTCAGTTGCTGATACTCATATTGTGCACATAAAATAAAATAAGAATTGTTTTAAAAATTATCTATTTGAAGCCGTGAAATATTTGTTTCTTTTTTTTATTTCCTGTGGTTACAATTTGAAAGCGACGATAAAAATATATAAAAAAGATTCTGCGTCGTACAAGTTGGTTTTATTCCACTAAATAATTTCTCTTGTGTTGGAATTTTTCCCTTGGTTGTATTACTGACGGATATACATAAATATAAATACGTACTATTGGATAGCGATACATTCCCTATAGTGTAAATATTAAGGCATTCTAGGTGCATACCTGTAACTGGTAGCCCCTCTTCCATATGCAGAGTCGTCTGAGGCAAAGAAATTTACAGCACAAAAGCCAGCTATTAGCAAGACGAGCAAAAATTGAGCCATACCTGGAGAATGAGTGGAAAAAAAGTCTTGTCTCAAACTGTCTAGCAGTTGAAGCGCATATGCGTGCAGCTTTCAACCACCATTGGCTGCCAGTAACGATATTTTCTTAATTTTTGTCCAATCACAAAATACCTCACAATCGTTAGAAGCAGCAGAAAAAGAACTATAAATAAATAAGTATAAATCTAGGAACTGTTAAACAACTGAACGGAAAATGGGTTTCAGATATAAGTTTACTGTCCAAATATGATTGAAATATTCAGATCGTTTGAAAAATAAATGCGGTTAACTGTTGACTGGCGAAATGTAGTATAAACGTTCGCAAAAAAGAAAAAATGCAACAAAACGGTCATTCGTGATTTTAAATCTGGCACTCACTTAAGTAACACAGAAGTCCTTCGTCGAAACAACGACGCATGTTTTGAAAACCGTTACTTCTTGGCTTCCAACTCGGCTAGGCGTTTACACAGATTAACAGCTTAGCACGGACTAATACTACAAAAAATATTCTCTCAAAACTATATAAAACAAAAAAACTATATAAACCGACTTCAACTCTCATATTACTCTCATATAAAAAAAAATATATATATATATATATATCTCATGATCCACTGATCGGATCTTAACCAAATTAGTATGGGACCACCTGTGAGACACAGATACAAAAAAATTATCGAAATCGGTTGACGTGGTCCAAAGTTATGCGGTAACATACATAAAAATAAAATAAAAAAATAAAAATAAAAATAAAAAAATATTCCGACGAACTGATAACCTCCTCCTTTTTTGGAAGTCGGTTAAAATGCTTGGTGCCTAGTTTCCTGAGTATATTGATATTTCTGTGTGTTTTGAATTTTTTTGTGGCACGGTGATATACATACCTATACATTAGACTGCATCACACCCCATACAAAATAAATCGCTACTGTTTTGCCATCGGAGTTACAAAATTTGTTATATTTTCCACCAAAATATTTCGGAAAAATATGAGGATTTACCTGAGCTGGACCAATTTGAAAATTCCTCCAAAAATGGAGTTTCTGAAATATTAAAAAAAAATCCCCCCCAAATGACAATACGGCTTAAACTTAAAAAATTTGCATAAAAATATTAAAAAATAAAATTAAATATGTTCAACGTAATCGTAATAATGAGATTTTTGATGCTGTTTTTTAACTTTTTTCAAAGCTCGGCATAAGAAAGACTTGAATAACTGAACCTAAACTATTCCAATTTAGACTTAAATATGAGGTATTTCTTTGCCAATAAATTCATTGAAGGCATGAAAGAAAAAGGTAGGATGAGCGATCGTTATTTCGAGTTAAATTAAGATGTGTTGGTATTTGAAAAAAAAACTCTAACTCTAAATCAGAATAGTTTTGGCCCAGTTATTATAGTTTTTCGTAAATCAATCTTTGAAAAAGGTAAAAAAAACAGCATCAAAATCTCATCATTACGATTCCGTTGAAAAGATTTTTAAATATATTTATGCACATTTTTTAAGCTTAGGTGAGGGTGTTTTTTCAAAAAGGTCTTAAAGAAACTATTTTAATTCATAAAAAAAAACTCCATTTTTCGCGGTATTTTCTAATCGGTCCAGCTCACGTAAATCTTAATATGTTTCCGAAATATTTTGGTGGACGTCTTCAAATATAATAAATTTTGTAATCCCGCCGGAAAAACCGCAACTTTTTTTGGTGATGCAGTCTAAAATACATATATACACATTTAACTATATGTGCACATACTAAAATTATTCGAAAAAAAAAATGATTGGATCAATTTGATCTGGTTCTTGGGGTCGAAATATGAAATTCCCTGCTGCGAAAATTATTCAGATTAAAATACCGAAATATCCTATCTTTCTTTTTAATAGAAAATATTATTAATTAATTAAAAACGATCGACAATTGGTGCACCGTTGCCACTATAAGTAAAGGTTTGTTACTGGTTCATGGTTCGAGCAGAAATTCTCTAGTTATAAAGTATGTACTACTCTGCGAAGAACAGATTTTACGTTATTAATTGTTGAAGTTTTGCCAATTGTCAATTGTTCGTAAATCAAAAACAAAAAGAAAGAAAACCAATAGCTCCCCAATTATTAAACTTTAAATAAGGTAATCAGCATAGTAATAATTCCATTGCAATCAATTTTTATGTGCATACCTACGTACTTTTTCAAAACATTACGCTTCAACAATGCTCATATGCTTCTGCTTTTCCCTTTCCTTTGATTACTTGCAGACCCGCCCGCAACGATGTGCCGTCCATGTACATCGAGGAGGACGCGCTGAACGACGAAGAGGTGCTAGCCGGCACACGCTCCGCCGATATACGTGCCGCGCGCGTACTACCCTCCACGCTGGGACCACGCTGCAGTGCCAGCACAACGAGCAGCCAACATCACTACATCTCCGAGGGTTTCATACAATACGCACAGCCCAGTCTCAATGGTACTATACCCAAATCTATACTTAATAGACTATAGTTTTTATAGTTTGTTTTTGTTTGCGTGTATGCGTAAATTCTNGTCTCAATGGTACTATACCCAAATCTATACTTAATAGACTATAGTTTTTAGTTTGTTTTTGTTTGCGTGTATGCGTAAATTCAACATGCATTATGTATTCTTAGTTGCAAATCTTTGTTTTAGTTGTAGTTGTAGTAGCTATTAGTAGATTTATGTAGTTAAAACTTTCTACTTGCTACTTTACACAATACTATTTACTTGTATTTACTTTAACTCGATTTACTTTTTTCTTTATTTGTTTGCTATTGTATTGTATGTTCAATGCTCAAACTTCATGGAATTCTTTCTTATACTGTACTATTTATATTCCTAGATAGTGTATATGTACATATATTTATATTTACGTAGAAGTTCGATTTCATGCTTCAACTTGCGCTTTCTCCCTTTACCCCAATTTAATATGTACGGTTTATTATTATTTGCAATTCAATGACTGAAAGCGGTTGTATTATTTAGAAATTTATCACAAATAAATAGTTGCAAACTGTCATGTGAAGATATTTCGTTGCCCGATTTGAAAGCTTTGAATCACATACTTATATTTTAAACATACATATGAATGTATACTTTCCCTGCAAAAAGTGGGACTAGGTTAAGTACTAGTACAGCACCACGTTACCTTGTAACCAACATTAGTAACCAAAATGGTCCAAATATATGGGAAAAATATGGTTACATTAACATTGCGATGTCATTGGACTTGACCACCTCTGGTCCAAGGCTGCATAACATGGGACTACTTCTGGACCACCACTGCATAACATGGGATCACATAGACAATTACTCCTTTTGGACCATGGCACATACGGCAACCCAATCATATTGACGATCGTCCACGAAGAGGTGGTGTTCAACACATATATCAGTTTTTTACTCTTTGAAGTGGTCCAGGTCAGCATAACAAGTTACTAGTATGAAATCAGGTCCTTTTGCTCTTACTTTAAAACTACGACCCAGTGGACCACCTGGTCCTCAAATTTTTGTAGGGTTCTTATTCGTCACAATTTGATATGTACATATGTATTTAACTTACACAGCGAAAAGTCTCGCTACATAACTCTCACGTAGACTGTGTAGGTGTGTCTCTTCTAGAGCTTTATTGAGTGTTTTCACGTCTCTACATAGTTAAAGCTTTGTCATACCTCGCGTTTTTATAAATAACCCTTGGCAGCTTTTAATTATTTTCAGTTATTTTTCCAAAGACTTTCTGCACAATTAGGAAATAGATGGCGAGCGAAAAAGAGTTATAACTGCCAAGGTTTTGTGGCACGAGATACCGTCTTGATGAAATCATATTTCTTCCAGATCAAAAATTACAATTCCAGGTCATTCATTGAACATGGCGGCATACCGCTGAGAATTGACTAAGGGTTCATTCCAGCGAGGACGACACCGCAGGTCCAATAACCAATTACTTAGATTGCGTTGAAATTTTTGGCAACAGTAAAGCATATAGAATGATTCCTCAGAACTCGTTTTTTATCGAGTTTTTTTTTTACTATTTTCTCTATTTCTTCTGTTTCACAAAGTTACCTCTTTGAGAATATAAAAAAAATTGCGATATAAAGGATCTAAATACAATATCTTTTTTTTGCATAGAAGATTATCAATATTTGCGTATAAAACAAAATTTTTTGATTTAATTTTAATTAACTACAAAAAAATCGAAAGTTTATTCCCTAATAACTCGAATTGAAACCAAAAAATTAGAAAGATAGATAGATAAATCGAAAAAAATTGCTTCTATATTGTTTGAGAAGCTCTCCTACCATAAAATAAATACTAAATAAATGGGTTTTAAACCTACTGTTTTATTTAAGGTGGCTTTTTTATTTTTTTCGCTAACGTCAGGATTTATTTTAGAGGACTTTGTAATTTCAAAGATATGCTTAATATGGACNAAAATTGCTTCTATATTGTTTGAGAAGCTCTCCTACCATAAAATAAATACTAAATAAATGGGTTTTAAACCTACTGTTTTATTTAAGGTGGCTTTTTTATTTTTTTCGCTAACGTCAGGATTTATTTTAGAGGACTTTGTAATTTCAAAGATATGCTTAATTCCAAAAAAGTATTTTAAAAATTCAATGCAATGTAGAATAAAAATATGGGTACCAATTGAAAGAGAAAATTTCTTTAAAATGTCAAAAATTAAAATTTTTTGGATTCACAAGGACGAATACGTTAGTAATTTTTTAAGCTGATAAAGTTATAAGGACGAAATTCGAGGATGTTATCGAGTTTGTATGACTCCTTAACATATATTTTTTTCAAAAACAAGTACTGCGAAATTTTAATTTCAAATTTTAAAAGGACATTTGCGATAGTTACCAGTCCTTATGCACCAAGAAAATTAATCTGTTTAAATTTTACAGAGTTTCCTGTTTAATTTGATATCCATACTTCTTCTCTAAGCACATTTCACAGAATTTTTAAAATCATTTGTTAATTACTGACGTCAGAGTGAAAAACTAAAAACGCAATTTTACTATATTTGGCCCATGGTTCCGCGAATATATTGATTTTTGTGTGTAAAATTTACTACCGCACTGTGTTATATGTATAATGAGCTAGACATTTAAAAAAAAATATTAATTANGTCAGAGTGAAAAACTAAAAACGCAATTTTACTACATTTGGCCCATGGTTCTGCGAATATATTGATTTTTGTGTGTAAAATTTACTACCGCACTGTGTTATATGTATAATGAGCTAGACATTTAAAAACAAATATTAATTCATAAAACAAAGAGATATTGGCAACACTGGTCAAGAAAAGGAGTTTCTATTATCGCCATCAGTGCAAATTACAAGAATTGCCAAGAATCCCGGGATTTTCAAGATCTAAAAAAGGTCGGGATCCCGATCCTAATGCATACGTTTGGTTATGAGCAAATAATTTTTAAAATACAGTAACATTTTGTTAACTGCATATAAAGAACTACATAATTAATACATATCTAATTTGATTTAAGCCTTAATTTTAATTGTTTCCCACTACGTATAGTCTAATATTTGTATTGCATTATTTAACTGCCCGTGTAAATATGTAAACAGTTTTAGTAAACTTATAAACTTAGTTTTATGAATGTATTTATATTTACCAATTAACAAACAAAAATAATTTTCATTTAAAATGTATGATTTGGTGTAGCATGGCAATAATTGTAGATAATTTATCTAGTCATCGTAAGAATCTTAATGGAGGTACCATCATCAAAATAAAGATTTAAAAACATTTTATTTTTTTTTTTGAAAGACCGTTTATTTTTTATTGAAAACTTTTTTTTTATTAATTTTGCTTATCAGTTGTTTAGCTTTGCCTTTTGCTTATTAATATATTTATATGCACGTTTGATTTGATTTAAAATTCGAACCGCAGTGCGTTAGTCACATAGGGTTTGCCATAGGTAAAGGAACGTTTAAACTGATGAAAAAAAATCTGATCTTAAGAACTGCATTTTACTTCAAATAAGTTAATCTTTGTTATACAAAAGCTTCGGTATCGGGGCGGCACTTCTCTTATGTAATACTTTTGGAATTTCAATTTTAATTTTATCTTCATAATAAAGTCGAGCGCCTGATGGGATCCAGAACGCACCAAAATGGGACGCTACATTATACAGCATAATAAAAAGAGATAGTGGCTTCTTTCTTTAATTAAATGCGAGTGGATCGAACAAATCCTTAGAAACGGAATCATAATCTCAACCAAAATGGTTCAGCTGCACTGTCCCATTATGCAAATATAGGCACCAACCTAGGAGGTGTTCTGTCAGGTGAAATTTGCTTCTAGACGGGACTGGAGTAGGGGCATGATAGTTGAGGGGGTACAAAAAGCATGTATTTTCTCAAATAACTAAACGGTAATAAAGTCTAAAACAGTAAGAGAAATTCGCGTTAGGCGATTCGCGATCGAATTAATTAACATCTCTCTCATCTGATAAATCAAATATAGAGGAACTCTAAAGAAGTCGGCCAAAAATAAAACCCGCCTATTATGAAATCGTACTGATATACGCTGCATTCTGTTATCCCCTATTGTGAATCGATGTTAATGTATGAAAGTCCGATAGTTACCGGTAGCTGATTTGTGTTGTATCACATAAAATAGTGCAGCTAGAGGAAAGTAAGGAAACGACCGCAAACTACCTTTGCGAGTGCCCAGCATTGGCACGCATATGACATGAAGAAATAATAAAGGCAAAGTTGAAGATAAAGACGAGAATAAAAACAAAAATAAAGAATGAAATACATACAAATTAAGGTAACTGGTAGGTAAGAAAATTCATTGAAATTTTTCTATAAAACTCGAAATATACCCAGTCATAAGATATATAGATTTTGAAAGTTATCAAGTATTTTATCACGGAAGTTTATGGTTATCAGTATTTACGAATGATCGTGTTTATAAGGTTATCGGAATGTATCGAGTTATTGAAATCGAACAATGTTTATTGAACTATCGAAAGTTATCGGGGAGCAGAAACTTAGTTGTCGAGATGTATCGATTGTTATCGAGTTATAAAAATATATACAGAAATCTACAAAGTTAATGAAATTTTATTTTATATAATATTTATTGAATTATCAATATTTATCCAGTGCCCAAAATTTATGGAATTATCGAGATTTATCGAGTTAACGAAATATATCTCGTTGTCGTTACGTATCGAGTTCTTTCAAATTATTGAGTTATCGAGATTTATTGCTTTATCGAAATTTGATGGTAGTTATCGAAATTTGTCGGTTTTTGGAATACTCAAAGTACATCGGGTCATCGAGATTTCAAGAACTACATGAATTAATCTAGTTATCAATATTTATCGATTTATGGAATTTTACAAAGTTACCAGAGTGTATCGAGCTATGGAAATTTATCAGTAAATATGGAAGATTATAGAGATATCAAAATCAAGTTAC